GCAACATATGTTTGTCTGTGTCGAACGGTTCAGATAAAAACAAAAGAGTACAAATATTTAGAATAGAAGCAGGTAATACACCATTATTACTAGCTATGCAGCATCATTTTATTTTTTTCCCATTACATTTTTCCAACACTGTATATAAAAACACAATGGATATATAAAAAAAGATGCAAAAATGGCTAATCTATGCAAAATAGTAATTTTAAAGCAAAAAAGCCATTTATGCATAACCAAAAAACATACTTCTCTTTAGATAAGATAAAAATGTTGATACACTTTTGTAACAATAAGAAAATACAATAAAAATGTTGTAATAAAAATGTTGTAATAAAAAGTTGTCAGGACTCGCACAATATGGATCATGGTAACTATGGTAACTATGTTCCACTCCTGACTAGATCTCAATTTATTCTTAATTTGGCCTCTTTGCTCCAATAAATAAACAACAGAAAATATATTATTAATATTGCGTAGATTTTTACTGAATTTGTTAATTATGTATTTTCTAAAATGAATTTTTTTTTTGTTAAATAGTTACTGTCAGTATTTAAAAAATATAATATATAACAATATAATGCCAAAGACAAAGAACTGTCATTTTCAAACAGAAAGTAAACAAAAACAAAAAGTAACAAAAAAAGAAGGGCAATAAAAAGTATTCTTTTTGGGTAAAATTTTGTATTTAAAATTCTAAAAAAGCAAGTTATAGTTGGTGCAGAACGGATATTGATACTTCTAACATGGAAGTATCTGCCTTGAATTCCCATCCAACTGGTAAGAAGAATAAATTTAATGCAATAAAGACATAATGCAGCAGATATATTCTTTACTAGTAGTTTATTAGTTGTTTTTTTTTAATTTAAGTTTTTTAATTTAAGTTAAGAAATGAAAAAAAACGAATTTTTGAGATACTGGAATTTAAGTTCTGGTGTTGTAAATTGACTCAAAATTCCTCAGATGCTTTAGTTCACAAAACTTATTTGACAAACTCATTGAATCAACAGAGGTATTTGATCTGGAAAACTTTGATTTGGAAAACTAATTCAAGTATCAATGGATGGTCCTAATGTTAATTGAGAGGTTTTGAAAATGTTAGGTAAACATAGACAAAGAATATTGTGGTATAGTTAAAATGGGGAATTGCAATTTGCACAATGTTCATGGTGCCTTAGAGACAGCAGTAATATATATAAATACATATATATAAATACATATATATATATATATATATATATATATATATATATATATATATATATATATATATATATATATATATATATATATATATATATATATATATATATATATATATATATATATATATATATATATATATATATATATATATATATATATATATATATATATATATATATATATATATATATACATATACATATATATAATGTGGCTCTATTTGTTGATGAAAAAAAGTTGTCCCTTTTTTTATTGCTTAGAACTGGCATTTGATCATGAATGTGATTTTTAATCTGCAACATCTTAGGAAGTTTTATTTGAGTGTGAATATGATCTTTAATTGGCAACAGCTCAGAGCTTGTAGTGGCTGCTTCATTTGATCATGAATGCGATCTTTAATCCGCAACTGCTTGGAGGTTGTAGTGGCTGTTTTATTTTAACATAAAAAAAAACTCTTATTTACTTGTTACCAATTATTGATAATATTTTTGATATTGTTAATGAATAGGAACACTTTTACTGAGTTCTATAATTTACCCCTTTTCACATTCACTATTGTCTTCATGAAAACTATATATACAATCAACGGCAAAGCTAGCATTTGCTAAGAACTTTTCTTCTAATTCCACTTTTGAATCTTATGGACATTCTCTTCCTTCCATTCCAGTCAAACAGGTTGACCCATTGTTAGACATTCAAATCACTCCGGCTTCTGTTGTTAAATCATATCTCAATTAAACTCGTCTACAGCTTGTGGTCTGGACAACATTCCTATCACAGTCTTGCAGAATTGTTCTCCAGAACTTTCTTCAATTCTCTCTAAACTATTTAACAAGTGTTTGACTGAGTCTTGTTTTCCTGCTTGTTGGAAAATGGCATCTGTGGTTCCAATATTCAAAAACTCTGGAGAAAATTCAGACCCCTCTAACTATTGTCCGATCAATCTTCTTTCTGTTATTAGCAAGGTCTTTGAGTCTTTGATCAACAAATTCCTCACATCTCATCTTGAGTCAAACAAACTACTGTCAGACAATCAATACGGTTTTTGATCCTCTCGCTCTACGGTCAATTTGCTAACTGCTGTAACTGAAAGATTTTATTGTGCATTAGATGGAGGCGGTGAGGCTAGGGCTATTGCTCTCGACATATCTAAAGCTTTCGACAAAGTTTGGCATGCTAGTCTTCTCCATAAGCTTGCTTCATATGGTGTTTCTAGAAAAGTTTTTGAGATTATCAAATCATTTCTTTCTAACCGGTTTATTAAAGTCATCCTTGAAGGCCAACACTCTTCTTTATTTCCAGTAACTTCTGGGGTTCCCCAAGGTTCCATCCTGGGCCCTGTTTTGTTTCTTATTTACATAAACGATCTTCCTGACAACCTTTCATCTAAAGTAGCTCTTTTTGCTGATGACTCAACTTTATACTCTTGTCTTGACAAAAAGTCTTCTCTTTTTGATCGCCTAGAACAAGCAGCTGATCTTGAATCCGATCTCACTTCAGTAATAGATTGGGGTTCACAGTGGCTTGTGAATTTCAACTCTAAAAAAACCCAGTTGCTTACTGCAAACAAATACCGTAATATGGTCAACATTCCTATATTAATGAATGGCAATCCCATTACTGAGTCGTCCTCTTTATGTCTTCTTGGATTATCGCTTACTATTGACCTTTCATAGAAACCATATATACAATCGATTGCTAAATTAGCTTCTGCTAAGGTTGCTTCTCTTTATCGTGCTCGCCATTTCCTTACTTCTGATTCCATTCTCTACCTCTACAAATCTCTTATTCATCCCTGTATGGAATACTGTTGTCATATTTGGGCTGGTTCTTCTAGCAATTCCCTTTCTCTTCTTGACAAGGTCCAAAAACGCATTGTAAATATTGTTGGACCTGGACTATCTGCTAAGCTTGAACTTCTTTCCCATAGTCGTAAAGTTGCATCTCTTTCTCTTTTCTACAAATACTATCATGGTCACTGCTCAAAGGAGTTATCATCTCTAGTTCCATCAACTAAAATTCATTCTCGTTTTACTCGTCATTCAGCTAAGCCTCATTCGTTTACTGTATCTGTCCCTGCATGTTTTAAAAACTTTTATTCATCTAGTTTTTTTCCCCGCACTTCAATCCTTTGGAATTCTCTCCCATCTTCATGTTTTCCTGACTCATACAACCTTCAACTTTTCAACTCTTCTGTCAATCGTTTCCTTGCTCTATAACTCTGTTCTTTTTTTTCCTAGTAACTCCCAACTTAATAGTGGTTGCTTGCAGCCTTGTTGGGAGTGAATGCAAATAAAAAAAAAAAAAAAAAAAGTTATCTTTATTTTTCTTTTCTCTGTTTTTGTTGTGTTTGCTATTTACTATTTTGTGATTCCAATCCAATTTCCTTACTTCCAATTCTTTCTCTTAATTCCATTCTTCATCTAAAATTCTATTCAATAACTAAAAAATAAAGAAATCCTTAAAGTATTAATTTATTAATGTTTCTTTTTTTAATTTAATTAATTCTGTAGTTATAAGCAAAATCTATAATCTAAAGTAACTATAATTAATAATTATAGCTACTTATAATTACAGATTAAAATGTTGAAACTCTCGATTCCAATTCTCTATAAGTTTTTTATTTTTTATTGTATTGAATACTCTTGTCATATTTGGGATTTTTTTGTTTCTACAAGTATTAGAATTATTCTTGCTCATTCTCATTCGGCAAAGTTTTTTTTTGTAACTCTTCATTTTTGTTAGCTTTTATTAATCTACTTTTTGGCCACTTAATGGAAGGTCCATCTTTTAAAGTTCCATAATTTGTTGTTTCACAAATTCATGGAATCTATCTTTGTGTTTTTATGTCTCATACAATTTAAGTTTTCTGTTTACTATTTTATTTCATCTCTCTATTTTTCTGTTAACTCCAAACTAAAATTTTTGCTGACTTGTTAAGAGTAAATTTGTTGAAAAAGTTGGAAGCAATTATCATTAATTAATATATCAATTAAAATCAATTAACATTAATTAATATATCAAAATGCTAAAACTAAAAAATTTCCATTAAAAAAGAACAAACTTCAAAATGAATTTTTAAAAAACTTCAAAATGAATTAAAAAAAAAAATGTTTTTATTTTAAACAACATATTTAGTGATGATAACTTTCTATAACTCCGTGTCTAGCAGTATATTTTATACTAAATAAAACCATCTTATATTATAGATATCTTTTGTTTCAATTTTATTAATAATTATTAATAAAAATAAATTCCTCAGTAATTTAAAATTTTTCTTATAAAACATTTTTACTTATAATAACTTTCTATAACTGTCTAACAGTATATTTAGAAATTGACATTATATTTAGAAATGGATAGTATATTTAGAAATTGATATACCTGAGTGAGTTGATTACTGCTTAATTAATATAGCTATGCTAATTGAATAATATCATAAAAATAATTGCTTAGAAATAATGAGTCTTAAATATCTTATATGTAATAAAATATTTTCTTATATCTCTATACTAATTAAAACATTCTTATAATAATAATATCTTTAATCAATAAAGTCCTTAGTGGTTTAAAAATTTTCTTTTGAATTTAAAAAAAAAAATTATTTTATTTATGCTTGATGTCAAGTCATATACTACTGTTGCACTGTTACAACTTCTGAATGGATAACAAGTGAATGCATTTTATGTATTCACTAATGTGTATTGTCATAAATTATCTATTTTTTATCAATTTCAGTTTCAAATAAATTATTCAACTCTACATTTGAAATGTGTTAAAATTTTTTTTGTTAGTTTGTGTTACAGGGATAAAAGAATGGCATGTAATTCCACTGCTGTTATTTTGCCTGAACAAAGAAAGTGGATGTATTACATTGGAATTTCTTTTATTTTATATTTTGGTGGAATAGCATTAATTTTGATTTCAAAAATTTCAAAATGTTTTTTGGTGTATGTTTCCAAAAAAAACAGTGTAAACTGGGAGGGCGAGGAGGATGAAGAAGAAGATAAAACAGTGTTGAAACAGAATTTTTATTTAGAGATGGTTGAAGCAGCTGGTATCCTTGTATCTGCTCAAAATCTTCAAGGTAGAATATTGGTAAGCCCCATAGTATAGTTTCAAATTGTTTTTTTCTTTCAGTTTTTAATATTTAACATTTTGAGTTTTTGTTATGATACCAATGTCAGTGTTAGTTGATGAAATTTTTTTATATAATTTATAATATTTTTGTATATTTTTTATAATTATAATATTTTATTATATTTTTTATAATTATAATATTTTTTTTTTATTTTTATTGTTTTGTTATTCAATGTTTAGTATTTTTTCTTGCTTATTTTTTAGAGTGTTGTCTCTTTTATTTTTAATCTAGTCAGTGTAGCTATCTACGTATATTTGTCTGCAGAGTAAGATTACTTTACAATTTACACATTTACTTTTTTTTTTACAAAATTATAAATGTATTTTGTAATTAATAATTAATTTGCAGAAGTAGAAAACAAAATGGGTATGTATTTCATTGCAAACCTTTCTAAATAAAATTTATGCACTTTTGAACTTTTCAATCCAAAAAATTATTTTTTTTTTTAAATGTTGAAGCCCCACAAAATGATATGAAAATATGAATAAAATATGAAGATATTTTATATTAAAAAGATCATCACTTGTAAGTCTTTAGTAAATCATTTACTTAAATAGCAGTTTTGTTAATTGTGCACAATTAATAAAAAAATTTATGTTTAAATTGTTTACTACTATTGTTAGTAAATACAATAATATTTTGCAATAGTAAATAAATACAGATTAAAAACCAGTAAAGAAAATTATTTAATTGTTTTTACTGCTCAATAAGTTTCTTTTAAGACTGGTAATAAATTGAGTTACGGTATTTAGTATTTTTTTTTTTAATTAAAATTTTTTGTTTTAACTTATTTGTTGCTTTGCAACTTTATTTTTATTTATAGCCTTGTTGAGCATTGTATTTCTTATGAAAGTGCTCTGTGGAAGGTTGAAATTGCATTATATGTTTACTTTGCTTTTCACTTGTTTATACGGGTAAGTCTAAGTTTAAAACTAGCCTCTTTGAAAATTTTAAAAAATTTTTAAAAATTGCTTTTTTATTGTTTGAGGTGTTTGAATTTTATATTTTCTATCATAATAAAAAGAAACTGGTTTATATACAATAAATCAAATTGTGAATTTATGTAATACAATAATATAAAATTCAACAGACAAGAAACAAAAACAAACTCAGATTCTTGCTTCTAGAGCATCCATCTTAAAATCAACTCCGATCTCAAGATCATTATTTCTAGCCCAGCTAGGTGTTCTTGAACCTTATAAACAAAGGATAGTTGAGTGAAGTATTTCAAAAGATAATTTCATTCTTAACCACGTCATAACAATCAAGTATTTTTTGTTTTATTTTTCCAATAGTTTCTTGGCTATTCTTCTAACAAACTTAAAACATTCTTAACCCATACCTCCATTTGTACAAAACACTTGTGGTCTCAAATTAACATGTTCGACTTCACAAACTCATTTGTCCTATTCTCTTTTTTTTTCTTTTTCATGTTTTCTGAATATAGTTTAAATAAATTTTCTGCTATATCCAGATTTTTGTTGCTCATGGAATTGACATGCGTAATTCTTATGTCAAAAAATGCTGTCTGTCCATTTGCCAAAAACCATTTGCTTTAATATCCAAATGAGCTTGGTTACTTTTATTTGCTGTATGGAAATGAAAATTCTCATTATCAAGGGGTTTGAGGTGTGGTTCGGATTGAATATTTATGCACACTCTTTTAAGCAATTTAGTGAACAAATTTCTTATGTTATCATGGCGACTTAAAATGAAGCCACCTTTCTTACATGATAAAGCATGAGTCACATTAAAAAGTTCTCTGCATTAACAATTATGAGAGTTGTTTTTAAATCAAAATTATATCTTATGCAAAGTGCATCTCAAAATTCTTCTTTTTTAAAAACAAAACCTTGGTTTTCTAGCAGTAAGGCATTTAATCAAGTACTTGAACATTCGCTTCTTGCTTGCTGTATGTTTCTTAACATTGACTCTGGTTGCATTAAATCAATTGCGATTATTTCTTGGTATGAAAAAAATCTAAATGCAAAAAATGGATAAAAAATTCAGTAAGAAAATAAGTGGCAGTTTAATGCTTTATAGCAATTGTAAACATTTACAACATTGGGTGTAAATAGGTGTGAGTGTGTGTATGTGCGTGTAGACATACACATTATAAATGACATAGTGCTAAAATTACCATCTGTATTTCATCTGAATTTCAGTTCATACATTGACTAAGAATTTAAATTGGAACATTTTCAATTTTTATTGTTCAAAAATTTTTAAATTAGTTCTAATTATTCTTTGTTTTTTTTTTATCTAAGTTAGTTCACTTGGTACCAATAACAGTAAGAAAATTACCTTGGTACCTTGTATAACCTATTGTTTTAGGTATAGAGATATTTATTTATTCATTATTATAAGAATTTCAAAATTCTGAATGTTTATATTTTAGTTTTTTGCTGCTCATGATAAATTAATATTTTGGTCAACAGATGTGATGACAATCATTGATATATTAACCATGCCTACAATATTTTTTCGTACCATATTAGGCAATCAATATTGGATAGGTATTACTTTTATTATTATTATTGTCTCTAATTTGTTTCATAAATTTACACTAATGTTAAACATGAAATTGTTGTGTTATAGTCAAATGTGTTTTTCTAAATGCTATAGAAACAAATGCATGAAACAACTCCTAAAAATTAAATTTTTTTTAGGTTTACGTTTCCTTCGTTTTATTTATTTGACAAAACTTAGTGATATTTTACAGCTTCTAGATGTTTTCAAGACAGGGTATAAATCTATATTACATTTACAAAAATATATATAGTAAGTATATATTAGGTATGTGAGATAAATAAAATATTCATTTTGTTGTGATGTTTTAATTTGACCACTAAACACTGAATTAAGGCAATAATGACTTGATATGTTTTTGCATTATTTATTAAAATATATACAGTTATTTAGTTACTTAAATACATTAAAGTATAATAATGTATTTAAGTAACTAGATAACTGTAAACTTAATAAACCTGTCTGTTCACAGTGGTGTTAAATATATAATTTATAAAGAAAATTTTTTTTTTTTTTTTTTTTTTTTTTTTTGTTATTCATCTCCTCAAGGCCGAGAAGGCCACTACAGACGAGGAGGCTACTTAATAGTGGTTATAACCCTCTCTCAACTCTATAACTCCAAAACATGAACCTTGACGAACAAGGCCGGCCACAAGGATGTGGTGGGGACATAACTCCGAACCTCTTGCTTATGAAGCGAGTGTTTTACCACTACACCACTACCACATATAAATACAAGCAAGAAAACAAAAACAGCTAGAAAAATGTGACAGAAACAGAAAATACTTAAAAAAAAGAAAGAAAAAAAAAACAAGAAAAAAATCATTAATAAAGATGAGAAGAACAAGACAGAACAAAGGGTGGAACCTTGCTGTATCCCTGATTATCAATTGAACAGGGTATCAGCTCCAGCTAAATATAAAACTTTTTACAAACATGAACTCAGTCTCTGCTAGGGAAAAATTATAAGATTAAGCAAGGTTTGATAGCAGGGGCTTAAATCAAGTTTATAATACATTGTATATTATAAATTTATGCATATACTTACAATTTGTTAAATATTGGCATATATATATATATATATATATATATATATATATATATTTTTTTTTTTTTTTTTTTTTTTTTTCCTAAAATTAATTCATATTCAACAAAGTTACAAGCAACCACTATTATGCTGGAAGTTACTAGAAAACAAAGGATAAGGTTAAAGAGCAAGGAAATGGTTGACTGAAGACTTAAAAAGTTGTAGGTTGTATGATTCAGGAAAACATGAAAATAGGAAGAGAGTTTCAAATGTGCAAGGAAAAAAATTTGAAAAATTAAAGATTTTTATAACATGAAGAGAGATACAGTAAAGACACGGTGAGACTAAATGATGAGTCAAGCATAAATGTGTTTTGGTTGATCAAACTAGGGATGAATTTAAATTTGAGCAGCAACCATTTTAAAGCAAACAAAAAGTGTGTTCTATGCAATCAAAACAATTTTTTGAAGTGTCATTTTGACATTAGTATAAAGTTAAGTTGGCTGCAAATAGAGCCATTAAGATGTAAGACTGTCAATGTAGAAACAATACAGGATCGAAAATCCAACTTTGTGAAATCCCTAAATTTACTAGAAATAAAGAAAAGTGTTGGCCTTCAAATATTATTTTTATACTGTGTTTAGAAAGAAGTTTTTAAATATTGAAAGTTTTTAAATATTCATTTATTGAGCACTTATTTATTAGTTTAGAGAGAATTAAAGAGAGTTCTGAAGAACACTTTTGTTAGACACTACAAAAGGAATTATGATAGGAATAATGGATTATGGATTATAAATTAAGGAATAAAGGATTTTGAATTAAGGAATTATAGATTCTTACAAGAAGATTTATTATAAAAATGTTGTCTGAACTACAAGCCATAAAAAAGTTAAATTGAGAATTAACATCAGAAGCTGGAGTGATTTGGATGTCTAACAATGGATTATTTTGTTTAACTGGAAACGCAGGAAAGAGTACGGCTATTAGATTTGATAGTCAAATTAGAGGAGATTTTTTTTGCAAATATTTCCTTATCTTTGGATGAGAAAATTAGTTCAGACTCATGAATTAGAGATAGAGTGTTAGATTTACCAGCTAGCAATATTACCATTAAATTGAGTTTTAGAATTGTACCCTCTTTTGGAAATATCAAACAACAACCCATTAATAGTTTTTTTTTTTTTAATATCAATCCATCTCTCTAGGGTCAAGAAGGCCACTACAGTCAAGGTACTACCAGGAACATGGTGGTTTTAAAATATCCAGCATTCACCATCTTTTTTAGGGAAATATTCTTATACAGGTTTATATCTATTTCATTTCATGATGATCAGTTTATTCAAAAAAGCTTTTTTGTTTTCTGCTAAAATTTTCAATATATGGAAACAGGTTTTTCAATAAGAATTACTCAAAGTTATTCAAACATGAAAATACATTTTGTTGATAATGTAAAATTCTTTCATATAATGTATAATAATTAAAATTCAATTTTTAATTTACAATTTTAGTAGTTTGAATGAAATGAGTTTTATTGAACTTCTTAAATATTTTTTTATGCTATATTCTTTTGCATATTATTTTAGGTCATCTTTTGAAATGATGGGATTGATTGGTACCTTTCTTTCTGTTTGGCTGACATCTGCTGGGATGGTTCATTTAGTAAGTTTACTATGACACAGTTTTTATGTTGAAGTTGTAGTTGAATTGAGTTGATAGTTGGTAACATCATTATATACATACAACATGTATGTATGTATGTATGTATGTATGTATGTATGTATGTATGTATGTATGTATGTATGTATGTATGTATGCATGTATGTATGTATGTATGTATGTATGTATGTATGTATGTATGTATGTATGTATGTATGTATATATGTATATATATATACATAGATAGATAGATAGATAGAATCTATATATATATATATATATATATATATATATATATATATATATATATATATATATATATATATATATATATATATATATATATATATATATATATATATATATATATATATATATATATATATATATATATATATATATATATATATATATATATATATATATATAGATATAGATATAGATATGTATACACATATATATACATATATATACATACATATTTATCTATATGCACAGTATATTTATGTCACAAATTTTTAGCTCGAAAACACTGGTGATTGGTGGAGTCCTATAAACTATCAAAACAGATTTCCTATAAACTATTTTGAATGTATTTATTATTTGCTTGTAAGTTATTTTTGATTTTTCAATATTATTAATGTAAATATTTTTGCACATAAAAAAGCATTGAAAATTTGCATTGCAAATTGTTGTATATGCATACATTCCAATATAAATGTATTCTAATCTTTGATTTTCTTAGGTTACTATGTCAACAGTTGGTTATGGTGATATATCATGTAGCACATACCTTGGGAAAATATTTGCAATGATGTTCATTGGCGTTGGATTGGTATTTTTGTTTTACAATGAGCCTTGACATAAATATCAAAAATATTAACATATATCAAATATATATATGTGTTTGTGTGTGTGTGTGTTTATGTGTGTGTTTACATACATACATACATACATACATACATACATACATACATACATACATACATACATACATACATACATACATACATACATACATACATACTTCTTCATTTAAATAATAGTTTAGGTTGGTTTCACTGTAATATAAAATTACTGAATGGTTCAAAAAAATTACAATCATTTTTACAGTTTTTATCAAGAACGATTTTATCATTTGATAAGTGAAAAAATGATCAACAATGAAATCCACATTGCTAAATAAAATCTATAAATATTCTGCATAAAATCTTTGCAAAAAATTCATCTTTTAACTTGGATTATGAAAAAAAGGCAGACTGTTTAATTAAAAGGAATATTTCAGTTATTTCAATTTTTTGCAGCAATATAAAAATGAAGACAATATTGTATATGTTGTAGTGGTGTAGTGGTAAACCGCTCACTTCATAAGCAAGAAGTTTTAAGTTTGTGTTTTAAGAATTGTGTCTATCTATAAATATCTATAGGAAACTACAGAGAATAAAACAGCAATGCTCAAAAAAAAAAGAAACAAATATTATATGAAATAGAATATCTAAAAAAAAAAAAGGAAAATTATATAAAATGTAGCAAAAACATTTTCTCAAACATTTTCTCAAAAAAATCTTTTTTGTAG